GTGGTGACTCACTCGCTCGCTCACTCACTCATTCGCTCGCTCGCTCGCTCGCTTGGACTTGGACGAAGGCGGTTCGCTACCGGACTACTCTGCTAACTTCGCAGAATTCATTTAACGAAGCCGTGCGTTCTCCTTTAAGCGCTCATAATCGTACCCCCCCCTACCATTCCCGATATCCAGCGAAACAAACTCGGGAATAATTTCGCAAACTCGATTCACCACCTTATTCGCTACACGTTACGCGTTATTATACTGGTTTATCGAGTTTCAGCAATCAATTTTTTCTTCCCATCCTTCCTCCAAGTTCCTTCCATTCCGTTTCGACGAAGCGATTCGATTTCGAGACCGATCGTGATTGTTGAAAAAAAAAAAAAAAAAAAAAAGAAAATTTATCTCAATTTCTATTCTGTTGTATCGCAGAAATAGGGAACGGACGTGAAACAATCTTATCTCGGTTCCTTATCTTGTGCGCATGCGCGACCGTGGGTTGTATATGATTTCACGAATAATTAATTCAGAACTTTTTGTCAAAAGTAAGCATGTACTTTTATCTTCCTCGTTGCGTTAATATCTAATATAATGTTATANTATATATATATATATATATATATATAAAATGGGTATCGGTTTTCCATCGTTGGTTGGAAATTTTATCGAGTATATATACGTATATATATATATTCTTTAATTCTCCACACGAGAAATGCAATTAAGTGAATTCAAAAAGGTCATCGCACTCGTATTGAATTAAGCAACATTAAGCTGAGTTTACATGTGAAAATTCTTCGAGACCTTGTTGTGATATTTGAATCGCGCCATGTGTAATAACTATAGAAGGAGTTTCTTCGTGTATTCTTATACACGTTTCTCTCCTCTCCCCTCCTCCTCCCCTTCTCCTCCTCTTCGTATAATTACGTCTTCCCGGTTGCAGCTGAACCGTGAAACCAACGGTACAGGATCGTCGATGCGTAAATAAATGCGTACACGTAGGTTTCAAGCAGTCCTTTCTTTCTCACGATTTTATGAATGATGATTCATAAAATATTCTTTTGGTTTTTTTGAAGAGGAAAGGAAAAAAAAAAGTAAGTAAATAAAATGAAATAAAATTGTCTCTTAGATTAGATTTGTATGTGAAATTTAGGAGGAAGTATATATATGAAAAATATATATGTATATATATTGATAAAAAATTAGTAACGATGATTTTGAGACAGAGATTATTGAAAGAGCAAATGGACACTGTAAATATTAAGATAACATAACGAAGTGTTAATTAGCAGAACGATACTCTATCTACAATTACTAATTCTTACGGTATTCATAAAGAGATACAATGTAATTATATTGATTAAAGTTTATTATTAACATCGATTGATTTAATATAACGTTATTTTGAAGTATTTAATATCATCGTCGTTCGAGAAGATGAAAGGAAATATTTATTTTCTTTTCCTCCCTCCGTACGAATTTTTTTTATACCCAACTTGCTCGTTTATTTATCTATTTTGTTACTTTATTATTCATTGAACGGATGCAAAACATTGCAAATACGTGCATTATCATATTCAATACAAGATGTACATTGTTAATACGAAAGAATACACGTTGAGGTTGAATAATCGAGGTCAAAATATACATCTGTTTCGTTAATTAAAAATATCTTCTTTTAGTCATTTTATGAAACTGTGTTAAAACGAGTCCTTATTTTAATATTTTTTTATTATTTATGGTTTGCAATTAATTGACAGTTTTTTTATTTGTATCTGTGTGAAGAGTTATTACGTTTCTATCGAAAATGTGTGTGTGTACATACATATTTCAATTTGTTGTTTTATCGATTTAACGTAATCTTCTTTCATAAATTTATCACAGAGAATGAAAATATATCTGGATTAATTTTTTAACCGATAAATTGCACTCAATAAGAAATAATAAAGAAACAAGAAAAAGTGAATAGAATAAAAAGGAAATAGTAAGTCTATGTAATTAAAACCTCGTTTGAGAAAACGACGCTTCGCATGCAACCAACCTAATACACATTCATACGTGTGCATACCATCGTTCGCTGCTTTCTCTTGTGTACTCACGTTGTTAACAAATGGATCCTCGAAATAAAAATAATTCCACGTTCCTATTGCTAACAAAAACCGTACATGCGCGTAACTTGCATTCGAAACTATAAAGTTACATTTAATAATTAAAAAAAAAAGAAAATAAATTAAAATTCTACCAATTCTACTCGCGTGTTAATTAATTAATTAATTCATCATCGTAATTAAAATGACGAAATTAATTCTCTTTCGATCGATACAATATTAACACACACGTTAAATTTTCATTATTAATCATCTTGACACAAAAATATAATCTTTCCTTCTCTCTCTCTCTCTCTTCATCCGCAAAAATGCACGACGACTAATATTCTCCCTGTTAATTCGACCAAACGAGCAGTTTGCACACCCTTGAGTATTATTCTCCATTCTGGCTCTTCTTCCATTTAGGCGGGAGAACAAAAGAACCAACGTCCTCCTGGTGGACGAGACGCAAACATTTCGACTCCGCTTCCCTTTCTTTGCCTTCCTCGCGCCTTTTGTGCAGCCTCGAATAATAAGCACGACGAAAAAGTATTTAAGGATTTATATGCAACGCGGCGGGAAAGAAAGTTTGATGCTCGTCGTACGCGGATGGGAAATGGGACAAATCCAAACAGGTTTTTTTTTTTTTTAAGGAGATGTATCAACCGTTCATGTAACAGGAAATGGAGGAGGAGGAGGAGCGTCGAGAGTGTATGCAAAGACGAAGCATGTCGGGCACGCGGAACAAAATTGCAAGGAAGTTGAAATGAAATCGCGGCCAGAAATGGAGAAAGCATTTTAATTTGAAATTAAACGAAACTCAGAGCTGGATCTATTCCCTCGAAATATTTCGTTGAAGATTTGTTAATTATTAATTTAGAGAGTATAATTAATTAATAATTATTTTGGAAAATATGCTCGACAATTTTTTCTTTTTTAATAGATATTTTAGATATAGCTTTTGTTATAATTTTTTTAATTCTTCAAGGTGAAGAGCAGAGAAGGTGATCTAAACGGGGGGAAAAAAACACGAATCGAGGAATTTAAGGCTTGCATAAGTACGATATATTAAATTTAGAATCTGCCTGTTTTGACGAAAAAATTCTTTCCTCGAGGACTCGAGGGGAGTAGCCAACCTTGTCCCTCCACGGAATACCGTAAACAAGCCATCCTTCGTCGCGCTGGCCGATTTAATGGAAACAACCAGTGGTTGAATTTATGCCAATATAACGATCGAATGCATATTCATTCGCGGCTAACCATCTCGATCGAGTTTATCGAGCCCGATTTACGATTTTTTGTCCATGCATTTCATCTCTGATAAAACTTGTTAAAAGGAGTGATTTGAATTTGAATTTGAAATTCGTCTCTGTATTGGATCGAATATTGATAAGGCAAATAAGAGAAAAGGCTCGATAATTTGTCTAACAAATTTTCTAACAAATTTTCAGCTTTCCTAAATTTTGTGATTCCTAACTTTGCGGATATAGTTCACGCCAATGTGGATCTAATGATTTTTGCAAATGGAAGAGGCGTGAGATTGCTCTTCGAATGAGACGGATAAAGTGTACTTTGCATCGTGCAAACGTAAGTGAAATCTATTCTTATCTAAAATATGATTCGTCAATTTAAATATTGGAATCGTGGAACGATGAAAAATCGATTCTCTTCTTGTTGAATCGGAACAAATATTCGTGATACGTTTAAAAAAAATTTTTTATCGTAATGTTTAAGATAATTTGCATATGTTAAAAGGAAACGTTTGAAGTTTTAAAGAGGAATATGATTAAAATACCACGTGTCTCGAGATATTATATACTCGTCCTCTCGTCGTAGAAGAGTTAATGGATTAAAAAGGACATTGACGGACACAATATTTTGTATTTTTTGTTTCTTCTTTCATCGACGCACAACCTTGAAATGCAGCAAAGAAGAAAGAGATATCCCGAGATTTTCGAGGTGAACCAGTGTTCCACGATCAGGGTCAATGATGTCATTTTTTGGAGAAGGCGACTGCGAATGGCGCCGCGGCTCGCGTCAAAATGCCAATTCGGAAAAGGGGTATATTGACCTGGGTCCACGTCAATTCAATTCCATTTGCCAATTTTGAGAACTGAAAATTTTTCCAAACTTTTTCAAACGAAATTCACGAAAGGAGGAGAGTAATAATATTGAAAAAAGAAAAATTCGAATCTTCTCGAAGTTCCACAAGGAATCGCAACAACGATTGAAGACTTAACAATTAACAATTCGTTTCCTTTTGACACAAATCAGTTTCGAGAAATCTTTTCTTCTTGACGAAAGCAGTAAAATTCAGCACGATCGATTTCACATTTCCACTCACGTTCAATATTTATTTGCGCGATCTACGAGGAGGGAGGATTGAAAGGGGTTGTAAAATTTTATCGAGCAACTGAACACCCATCGACCCGTTATAATTGGCAGCCGACCAACGAACTTCTGCTTCCAAAGAGGGGTGTAACGAGCTAAATCGGCCACCTTCTTCTTCTTCTTCTTCTTCTTCTTCTTCTTCTTCTTCTTCTTCCAGGGAAGGATCTACGCGCCGTTCAAACGTTGAAATAGAAGTTGAACCGGTGCCAACTCGAGTTTTGCATTTTACTCACGTCCGATCGGCGCGCTGATCGGTTTTTTTTTTTCCTTTTGCATAATCCGATATCGCAACAGGCTGCGATGAATTTCCATGAATTATTCCCGAGCATCCTCGATTGCGTCGATCTTCTCTCTTGATCGTTCGAGAAAAAGAAAAAAAATCGCGAGAAAATTACCTTTCCATCTTCGAAGAAACAATTTTTAAAACTCTGTTACCCTCTCGAGAGGAGGGATTGAAAATTTTCATAAAATCCTGCTCCAAAGGGGAGGAGGGATAATTCCTTTACGTCCAGTGACGATTTTCCAATAAAAAGAGGTTGCAGCTTCCGCTCGATAATGGCTCGAGAAAACGGTTGCCAACGATAATTCGATTACAGGAGCTCGTCGCATTCGTTCCAACATTCCTATAAGTCCGCCTTACTTTTTCAACGATCATCGATCGCCGCTTCTGCAAACAATTGGCGCTCGACCAAAGGGCGCCGCACACCCCCCTGCTGTATTTCTCGCTCTCGGGTATTTGGCGGGAAAAATAAACTACTCGAGATAATTGATCGATTTTGCAGATAATTAATTGGTTTTGATTGGGCGCGATAGGATGATCGAAATTGTTCAATTGGGGGTTGAACATTAAGATTCTTCTTTAAAAAAATTTCGATCCAAAACGGGGGATTAAATTATGATGAAACGAGGATCATGTCGCTTCGAATCCAATGAATTCAAGGATCCATCTGATTAATTGAAAAAGAAATCAAAATAGATTTCTATTTTCTTTTTAATTTGAAAAAGTTTTCTTCGACGTGAAGAGGGAGAAACTAAGGTTTTCTCCTTAGTCTGTCTTTTGTCCAGACGTTGATTACACCTTGCCGATGGACCGAGAAAGTTTAATTTCAGAGAGGAGCCCGATTCTCTCTCTCGTTTGGACGAGAAATGAAGAGTAAGTAAAAGAAAAAAAAAAAAAAAAATGGATGAAGAGGAAAATGAGCAAAAGAAAAAAAAAAAAAAGGATGAAGAGGAAAATGAGCAAAAAAAAAAAAAATGGATGAAGAGGAAAATGAGCAAAAGAAAAAAAAACGCGGAAAAATATATGGGAGAAGAAAGAAGGAAGAAAAGAGAGGAGTTGTGGAAATTTCAGCCAAACAGGTTGGTTACAGGTTAATTTTTGATCGAGTTATTTAGATAAGAAAAGATTGTAATCTTCGAGAGAACTGAAAGCAACGCGAAACATTTTAGTTTGGACGAGTTAGAAAGTGTATATTGCCGTGGGAATGTGCCGTCGAAATTACGCCGATTATATTTACATTGAAAGAAAACAAGTTTAGATAATTACGAGTGTTATGAAATATTTTTTTTCTTTTCCTCTCTTTTCCCGAGTGAAAAAGTTGCATTTAACGCAATTGAATACCAAAAATTGAAAATTCTTCGATAAAGACGAAATTAAAAAGAAAAATATAATCGATTACTCTTTATGACGAAACGAATAAAAATTTATTTATCGTTGTGTAATATTAGAGGTATTATCTAATGACCTTGAATAAGCAACGAATCGTTTCCCGCGGAAAACAATTTTATGATATTAAACACGTATGACTCATAATCAACTTTCCTTTCGTGGAATAATATTAACGTTTTATTGTCTTGTCCTATTGTTTATTAATTCCACTCAAAGCTGACACTCGAGGGATAGGCATCTAGAAATCGTCGAAAAAAAAAAAAAAAATTAATTACATTTAATCGATTGATCCATCTGACAAAAAAACGAGATCTCGCGTAAAATTATCAAAATCCTCAAAAACGAGTCTTTAATTAACAAATACTATTCAACGAGATTAATTATTCCTTTCGTATTAACATGTATAAAAATGGTCTAGAAGATCAATCAACGGGTCATCGATTGAATTCGATCAATGAATTCGTTTTTAATTTTCGTATAATTTCTGAATATCGTGCCTATTATAACGGAATCGGTCGCAGAATCTTTGAATTTCTGTTTGAAAGAAAAGTGTGGAGAAACGAGCAACATTGTGCTATTCGGCGTAGCAAGCGAGCGTGCCACGGTCGCGAAGAAACTTCTGGCACATTCGCAAGCGAACACGTGCCATGAACACAAAGAGAATTCGTCCGTGCGTCGTTCAAGTTGTTCTATCGCTGCTCGGGAGGAACATCGAGAGGATCGAGACGCGCGATGTTATGCGATTCGTTGCGAGTCGTCGGTGTCGAATCGGTATCGGACGAGATAAACGAAGAGAGAAGGAAAGAAGAAAGAAGAGGGAAGAAAGAGTGGACACAGTGTTGTGAAACGCGTGTGTAATACTTTCGTCGGTGACGTCAATAATATTTTCTTACTTTGTTGTGTAAACACTCGTATATATCGCGGTTATTATACTATTATTTCAATGTTTGCTCTCTCTCTCTCTCTCTCTCTCTATCGGCACGAAGTCATATATTAATTAAAATGTTGAAACAAATCATACTTTCTAATGATTCATTTTAATTTATGATAGAAGCTAGATGAAAAGTCTATCGACGCACGAATTCCATTTGCATATCT